TCAAAGAAAATAGCTCAGCCATTTCTTTTTTCTACTTGCAGGTTCATAGGCTTATGATATGTCTTTTAACTCAAGGAAATAAGGAAGCAGTCTTTCCTGAGATACCATGTTTCCTTGTGGCCTTTCTGGAGACATCCACATGACCCAGAGACCCCGGTGTCTTTGTGAAGCTGTGGCCATCTTGGTAACAACTTAACTTTGTCCCCTCCTTTCCTGCTTCTTTTCCCTTCTCCCTTTACTCCTGCAACCCCTGTAATGGGTAAGCTTTGCCTCAGGGCTCTGTTTTTTAGGGAAGCCAGAGAAGACAATGCCAGTCTAGTAAAATAGAAGTCATTGTGGTTCATTTGAGATTTTTTTTTTTTCCTACAGAAGGAAACCAGAATGATCTCATGGGAATGGAATTATAACCATCATCAGACAGGGGAAAAGCCTTCAAGTCAGTTGCTGCCCAAGCAGCAAGAGCCCTTTGGCTGCACTTGGAGAGAATGAAAAATGAGTGCCTGTGACTGGGGCTCCCTCCCTGGAGAGACACAGGCTGGTTGTGTGTGTGGCTCTGGGCTGGGTCAGATGGTGCTCCCACCCAGGGCCCATCTTCGCGGCAGCCCCTCCAGCGGAGCGATCCCCACACCATCTGCCCTCTCCCGCACCCCACAGGCTCTGCCCTCACTCATGTGTTTCTGGGCATTTGTAATAGTCCAGCGGCAGCTCCAGCCAGGGTGAACTGCCCATCTCCTCTGTTCGAGTTATCTCCCCAGGAGCCAATGATTGTTGTTGGTATTTGGGAGGGCTCTGTGACAAAGCTTTATGGGTTTGGCGTGGTCTGCTCTACCCTCCTTTCCCCATAAACTCTAATTTTAGTGCCCGAGTTTTGAGAATGTGAGGTGTGTTCTGGTATGCATATGTCACAATCGAGCAGAAATGCTGGTGTCTCAAGTAGACATGAAATAAAGACTTGTTGAATGAATAAAATCCATTGCAAATATTTCTAGGGGTATGGAGAGTGACTTCTCCACAGAAGAGTACGAATCTATTTTTGACTTTCTGTTTATGTCAGGGAAGATTTAAAGTTCTCACATTGCAGCTAGTTAAAACAGACTTTTCCTGATGGCAATGAATGTATCACTGGATAATGTGGTGAGCATACTACGCTGAGTATCTTTTTTTGCAACTCCCTGAATCCGTTCTTCTCCCTTCTCCCTCATGTTCTGTGCCCTGAGAGGCTGGACTTGCTGGGCTCTATCAGTTGTGACTCTCTTGCTATCTGGTCTCCTGTTGGGTCCAGCCAATGGGATGCGATGGAGGGAATGAGGTGCTTACACCTTAGTACTTTGCATTTGTGTGTGCCATCTACTTCCTACTGTGATCTGTTGGCTAAACAACTTTCTCTGAAGGTTTGTGTATTTTTCAACCTTTGGTAGGTAAATGAGTGACACAGTTTATCAACTCTTTTATATTCATCCTCGACTAATTAGAAATTCATAAGAAATGGAGGGGGGTATATTTCACTGTCTTCAAATAGAAGCGAAGGTTATCTCTTCCTTGGCAAATGTATGTCTAAATAAATAATGCAATAAAATACATTTGAAAAAGTGCCATTTAAAACATAACTCCATCTGTTTTTAATGACTCAGAAGATACATTAGTAGACAGCAGGATATCAAGAGCCATGGGTTATGAGTAACAATCATAATTGTACTAAAGATATATGGAAAGTCTGGTTAATAGAAACCAGAGAGCAGAATTTTCTATGCTTTGAGTCTAATAATCCTGTATGTGTTTACTCTAGAAATTCTCTATGAACAATGTGAAGTAACTAATAAAACAGAGACCCAGAAAAATGACCCCATAATGGGTTTTATATTTTTGAAATAAAGTCAGAAATGTTTGTTGATTGTCTCCTGTGTTCCAGACACTACTATGATGTGTTTATCTATTTTCTTTCATCCTCAGGGGAACCCAACGAATTGTTTTTGTTTTTTTTTTTTTTAAATCTCTGAGAAGTTAAGTAACCAGCCCAAGATCACATCCCTGGTGAGGGGCAAAGCCTGGATTAAAGGCCAGGTCTGTTTGATTTCCAAGTTACTCTTTTCACTAGACCAACTGCCAGTCCAAGGATAGTCAAATGGGAATCCAGGAATTCACACCGTGGCTTTTCTGAGCTTTCATGGTTTTGAGAGATCCGGAAGAGTTAATCCCAGCTGGGAATGACAACTAGTACTTCTCTTTTTGTTTCTTCCTTCCAGATGGAACTGATTCTTATGATTCAGGCATCGTTGTGAGTCTTTACCCACTGCGATGGCATAATGTGCCAACATTAGTCTGCAGGACAATCCTTTATGGTAATGGCTGGTAGTCACTGTACTGGGGAGATCCTAGGATTGAACTTTTTACCTGAGGAAATGGTAGGAAGTCATTCTTTCAATCGCTTACAATGCTGTGCATTGAATCATAGAGTTTTAGAGCTGGAGGAGAATACTTATAATGAAAACAATAATTTTTACTTATTCTTGAAGACCTGTCTCAAATAGCAGATTATACTCGGCAGGCAAAAAGGGCAATCTTTATTTTTCATGTCCCATAAACAAGGCAACAAGCTCTGCCTGAGAAGGTAAAATAAAGGCTTCTTCGTCAATATTTTATGTTCCTCAGACTTATATCCAAATATATGTTAAATCCTGAAGGGTGACTCCAGAGCTGGAAAGTTAATTTGGGCTAGTCTGGTGGACACAGCTAGAGGGGCAGAGGAGGAGGATGGCTCACTAGACTGACGTACGTGGGCAGGTATCCATGTGTCCTTTACTTGGAGCCTGATGTTGGTTGACAAGGAAGTGAAGTAGTAAGAGGGAGTTCTTAAGATGCAAAGCTCTGGAGGAGGCAATCCCAGGAACTGCCTGGGATAGGGGGAAGGCATGAACATCTCCCAACCCAGGACTTGTCAGGTACCCCTAATGTTAGACCAGGGGAGACGCGGGACAAGTTTGTGTTTCTTAAAGCAAGAGTCAACATTGCAAACCAGACCCGTGTGAGATCCCACTCAAGAGAATTCTGTAGACTCATGGCTTCGATGCAGGCTAATTTTGAAATAATCTTCTTTTCTGATTCCATCATTCTTGTGTTTAAAATACTTAGGGATTTGCTCTGCTGAGCAATGTGTGGGTCATGGCAGTGGGACATGAAGGATAAAGGCATTCATTTTCTCTTCAATATTTAGTTGGTGTTTGATCTCCTGCTCTTAGAATAGTGCCTGGACTATTTGGTGCTTGCTGAATGTTTATTAAATGAATATATGGATGGAGGGAAGGAAGAAGGGCAAGATGAAATAATGCATAAACTTTCTGCATGATGAAGGAGGGCAGGGAGGAGCTCTAATGAACCCCACCCAGTGTCCTCCAGGCTGGGGCCAAATGTGAGCCCTAGGGCAGTTGGCTGAGAGACCAGAGTTGGATGTGTGAATGATCAGGTTCTGTTCAAGCTCCTGCATACTGCCCTTCTCCTTCTGCCCTCAGAGGGCATTAGCACTTCGTCTCCACAACCCCTGCCCCCTCAACCACGGGTCCCCCACGGGGGCCTTAGGACAAGAAGAGCTAATCCCGGCATATCCACTTTTCACTTCCCTGGGTCAGAGTGGCTCCTGGAGCAGTCACAAAAATCCAATGTGGCATCCATCTGGAGATGGGGGCGGAGGAGGGAGCTTGGCATCGCAAGGCTGGAGCCTGTTTGAGTAATGCAGGTGAGAGCTGATGACGGCTTTCAAACAAACACAGGTGGTGAGAAGGGCCTGGAGGTGATGTGTTCTGGAAATATTTGTAGGGAGGATCATCAGCACTTATTGGAGTCATCATATCCTGCCCTGAGGCCTTAGATGTCCCCAAATAAAGTGAGTTTATAGTTTCCAGCTGAGAATGTTGGATAGACACCAGCTATTGCTAGGAACTGGTTTTTTTTTTTAGAATGGCCACTATATTCATTGTTTTTGAATTTCTGAGTACCATCTGTTTGGTTCTACAATGTATTTCTTTCTGTACTTAATAGAGACCTATTGAAATGGCATTTAATTCAGAATTTTTGCACCTATGAAGTCACTGTCCCTTTTCTCTTGTCACCCTCGCATTGTATCCCCCACACTCTACCCCCACTTTCTTCTTAGCCATGACTGGCTCCATATATTGCAGGAACACTATAACCTGTAACTTTGATTCTCATCTCAGGAAGGAAAATCTTTAAAGCTCACAGACACCCTTAAAATGCATTCTTGATGCCCTTGCCCCTGATCCATAAGGTTGTAGGAGATGGAGGCTCTGGCAGAGAAAGGGCATATCTGGTGTTAGGGTTCCAAGTCATTGGATTCATTAATTAATTAGAAAGATTTACTTATCTATTTAGACAGAGAGAGAGAGAGAGAGGTGGGGAGGGGCAGAGGAAGAGGGAGAGAGAGTTACAAGCAGACTCCCCGCTAAGCGCAGAGCCTGACTGGGGACTTGATCCCACAACCCTGAGATCACCACCGGAGCGGAAACCAAGAGTCCGTTGCCCACACGACCGCACCAGGCAGGCATTCTCCAAGTCATTTTAAAGGCAGATTCTCATTTGTTCCTCTGCTCCTCCCGTCAATTCCCTAGTTCTTTTCTGGAACTCTGAAACTTCCTTCCCCAGCGATTCGCTGCGATTGCTAACATCTTCAGGGCCTGTGCTTGCTCTGGTGAGGAGCGCCAGCCAGCCAGCTAGCCATTGTCTGCAGATACCAGGAAGGCTGCTTAGAGCAGGGAGGAGGGCAGACCGTGGTCAGTCCCCCTGTGAGGATCCACTCTGTGCCATACTCTGTGGACTCACCTTCTTGCTCTTCCCAGCCTTCTGTACTCAGTTCCCACCTTCTCTGATCTGTGCGGCTCTGCTTAGCCTGGGGACTGTCTGCCCGTCCTCAGCTTCACTCAAGTGCAGACCTATCGCTTCACTGCCCAGCTTGGGCCTGGGATGCCATGCCAATCTGGAGCCTTCCCCGTGCTCTCTGGTTTGGTGTCGGGCTCCAGGCTTTCATCTTGCTGTTGTCCTTTCCCTGTTGGTCCTGTCCTGCTGTGCTTCATGTCCCTGGGACGCAGTGAAGCCGTTGGCCCTGCAGTCTCCACTTGAGACTTTTTGGCTGAAAGAAGTTGTGTCCTAGTTCCTGGTACTATTATCTAGGACACCCCTTCTGGGCACCTTTCAGCCAGTCCACATTGGGACCCAAGATTTCTAAGTTCTACCTCTGCCATTATTCATCACATTTTGAAAATTCAACTTCTTATCCAGAAATTTCATTCGATGACCCTATCTAGTTTGATTACACCTTTCAGATTTAACCTGTGCTCATTGGTCTGTGTTTTCAGGAGGAAATCTGCTTACTGGGTACTTTCTGTTTTCTCTCTTGGAAGGCAGAAGTTACTTTTCTGCTTATATCGCTTTCTGATGTAACCAATGCCGCCAGATATATTGTAAGGCAACCAAGAATAAGTTTAGAGAAAGTTGATTCTATTGATGGTTACGGAAGGGTTATTTCTTTGTGAAATGGAAGTAATATCAGGAAGAAACTAATGTGCTTTCTCTTCTGCACTTTTGAGTATGTTGCCTTCCCCCTGACTGCACCGAGGTATCCATCTGCCTCATGGGTATGGTGCTGTGGTAAGGAATGGGGGATTTGCTGACAGTTACAAAGCTGATGTCAAGGGAAATTAAAAAATTAATACTCAGATTCTGGCATTCAAAATAGGTTCTTGCTATGAAACAAGAGGCCTGAAAGCCCCATTTTACTGAGAGAAGATGCACAAATTAGCACATCAAGGTCTGAACCCCAGCCCTTCTATTCCTGAGGTTATAGGGAGAAGGGGGAGGGAAAGGCCTAGAAAAGGGAAGGAATAAGATGTGTAGTCTTTCCCCACCCCTTATCTTTACTGAGGAATAATTGACAATTAAAAATTATATATATTTAAGGTACATAGTTTGTTATTTGATATATGTATATATTGTGAAATGATCACCACAATCAAGGTAATTAACATATCCATCCCCTCACATCATTTCTTTTTTCTTTATTTCTTGGTGAGAACAGCTCAGCAAATTTCAAGTATACAATACAGTGTTTCTCACTGGTCACATTATTGTACATTCTGTCTCTAGAACTTCTTTATCTCGCACAACTAAAACTTTGTACGCCTTGACTTGTACCTCCACATTTCTCCCTCCTCCCCAACACCTGGCAACCACCATTTTACTCGCTAACTATTTGGGATTTCACATGTAAGTGAGATCATGCTCTGATTGTCTTTCTGGGTCTGGCCTTATTTCCCTTAGCACGTGAAATAAGGTTCATCCATGTTGTTGCAAATGGTAGCATTTCCTGCTTTT